AAATTATTTAAAAGCTGATGAAACCTAAGAGACGTGCTCAGGTGAGCTCACTCAGTCCAACATGCTTGTAAAAGCCCTGGCGTGCTTATATTATGCACCAACAGGAAACTAACTTTTAGCTAAGGCTCTGACTCAGTCTGCTGCCCCTCCCCCTGCACACCTTGTGGATGTGGCTCTCCAGCTGCTGATGAAGACTTTGGTAGCTCTTCTTCACCTGCTGCTTGTCCCGGATCAGCGTGGCGAGACGGTGCAGTGGCCCCGAGTTCAGATCGTCGGCGTGACTTCTCATTATCCGACCCAACGCCTCCGTCTGACGAATCACCTGCGACCACGACTGGGACACAAACACACACACACTTAGACTGGTCCACATGCTTTGCCCCTCCCATTAAACCGACAACTGAGCCACTCACCTTACTCACGGTGCTGACATAGTCGGCAGTTTCTTGTTTCTCCATCTGCTGCGTCATGCTGAGCAGCAGAGAGGCATACTCTTTATCACTTTTCACCCGCAGCGTCATGAAGCGCTTCACCGTCTCCAGCAGCTAGAAGGCAGGCAGCAAGAGTGAACCAGACAAGAAGTGACGAGTGGAGAGAAGGAGGCGCAGAATAATGACATCACACAAAAGACAGGTGTTTGACACAGAATGTAGATAAAAGATGGACCTGGCCACTGTGACACACTGATTTTTGGAGTCTCAACGTTAGCATTTTGGAAGGTGCTATGTTATTTATTTGATTAAGGAAGTGACCATATTTGTCCGAGAGGGCAGATTTACTTAATGCTGTGTAATATTAAATCAAAATCTTCAAATTTCACTCTCAAAACTGAAGATCACCCTTCTCAGCCCTGTTAGTACAGTAACCTCACAGCAGCCATATAAATTAACATAATTAAAAATGCTCCTAAAGGCTCCAACAAACTTTACTATACAAACTTTTAAAAAAAGTGTTATATAAACATTATATAAACATTTGCCCTCGTACGGGTGTATTAAACCAGGAAATTATCTATAGAGACCCCAAATTTTGTGTATTAGTCTGTAGACATGTTTATTTCTGCTGCAAAGTTTTAAATGGAAGTACGTGGGGACTGACTCAATGCTGCCCCTGCTGGACATGAGAGGAACTGTATCTATCTTTAATTACAGTCTGTATAAACAGTGCCCACCACAGGTCAGACTGTGAACTGCACCCCTCTGATAGTGATCTCCGCAGGTGGAAACATGTTGAGCTCTTTGAGTATTTGAGGCTATATCAGACCTTTAACTCCCAGTCCTGCAGCTTCAATAATCCCTCGTGGGAATTCCTTAGATCCCGACCGAACCCCATCCTGGATCTCAGTCTTTGTGTTTAACAGCGTGGATTAGCGGGCACTGATAGCATGGCCGTCTATGGAGAGACAGAAATATCAGCAGGTTCATAACAAATAGATGATCTGAAACAAACTCTTCAAACCTCGACATCTCCCAAAGTCACTTCTAAACCTCTGAACAAATTGAGCAGGATATGTTTACTCTGCTAAAGCCACAGCCTGAAACCTCATAACCCATTTTATACTCTCTAACAACCCTCTAAAAACCGCTGAAATCCTCAGAAACCAGAACAGGGTGATTTCACCTCCAACACAGAAAAATTCAAACTGTCCGACAACAGAAATGAAACCATCAGGTGTGAAACACTCACTTCCTCCTTGGCTTTAAAGTGATTTAAACTATAAACATTAGCTTCAATCTGCTAAAGCTAACTCAAAAACTTTCCAAGACTTTCCAAAACACGTTCCAAGCATATTTCCAACATCTTCACTACTTCCTTCTAGGACGCTTCAAAACTTTTCAGACTTCCTTCAAACTATCTAATCACGTCACAAAACCTTAAAACACACGAAACGGTTTAAATATAGCTTTAAAGCACTTTAAGATGTTTAAAAACTGTTTTAAAAAGTTAAAACGGCTTGTGGCACTTTAAGTTTCAAACTATGCTAACACTAGCCGCTGCTCCCGTCTAAATTAAAGGGAAATGAAGCTAGCGTGCTAAAAAGATAACGGCAGCTTCCTTTGGAATTGCAGGAAAACTGACTTATTAACATACTAACAGCTGATGTTAAACTTTGTTTAGAAGTCTTTAAAACTGAAGCCGAACGCACTCAGAGACCCCCTGTCCGCTTCTCCGGACCTTTTCTCCGGGTACGAAGCTCCAATGGAGCGGCGGAGGAGCGCCGGGATACTCGCAGGGGGTTCCCAGTTTTTCCTGCGCTCCTCGGACGCTTTCTGCCGCTTTAACGCACCAGGAAGTGGGTTAATGCGGCAGGAGGCTCGCTGTCCGATCACCGCGGTCCTCTGTCGTCCTTGGCCGGTATCATGTCCTCCGGTTCTTCTGGATTCTCTGCTCCGTTTCCCGGCTTCTCCAGCTGCTGTCCGGCTACCGAGCTAACGGCTAACAGGGAGGGGCTTCCGTGGGAAACGGAAGGAAGGGGGGAGGAGGGGGTCTTATTGTGTGGCTGAAGACGTGAACGTGTAACATGCGTGGGATATACGTTGGAAAGAGGAGCCGTAGGACACAGAACATCTGGATCAAACACTCCGATTTCACACACCTGGATTAAACACACCTGGGCATCATTTCTTATCGCTGCACCCTGTGGTAGAAACTATAAAAATAAACCTGAGAATGTGCACACCTGTGTCTGAGCCAGGTAAGCATCTTGGTGACCCGCCAAACGAAATCTTGCAATAAAACCCATTCAGCTTGTTTAGATAGTATCAGAAATATCCAGAGCAGCAGGGAGCCTTACCTGTACTGTTACCTCTCACTGTAGCAGGTATTAGCCCTTCGTCACTCCCCACATCCTTGTTATGAAAAATACCAAACATTTTTCTCTCTGACATTATCAAAGCGCTCAGATTAAGGTAATTTCCAGCGCACAGAAAAACACTTAAAGTTTCTGCTTCAGACTGATGCATGCTCATATCAAAGCACCTCCTCCTCCAATCAGAGGTGTTACTAGAGCGCGGGTAATAGAGCTCTATGAAGAACACACCTGAAAATATGACTACTGTGGCATGGGACAGCTTTTATCTGTGAATTTATTGAGTACATGTTTTTATTTTCTGTTATATTCCTCATGTAAATGGGGAGTCCTCTTCACACACTAAGGTTAATTATAAAGTTATATAGGGCCCAATGCTAGAACCAATTCTGTTTACATTATAATCCCTTGGGGAGTATCATTAGAAGGCATAACATACATTTTCACTGCTATGCTGATGACACCCAGCTCTATCTATCCATGAAGCCAGATAACACACACCAATTAGTTAAACTGCAGGAATGTCTTAAAGACATAAAGACCTGGATGGCCGCTAACTTTCTGCTTCTAAATTCGGGTAAAACTGGGGTTATTATTATTAAGCCCTAAAAATCGTAGAACTATTGTATCGAACTAGTTGTTTTTATGTTGTTTTTAACCAGTTGCTTCTCAATGCCAGATTAAAAACATATGTAGGACTGCTTTTCTCAATTTGTGCAATACCTCTAAAATTAGAAACACACCCTGTCTCACAGTTACACTGGAATACTAGTTCAGTTCAATTCATTTTTTTAAATAGCACCAAATTACAACAACAGTTGCCTCAAGGCACTTTATATCATAAGGTAAATACCCTACAATGATACATAGAAAACAGAGAAACCCCCCCAAATCATATAACCTCCTGTGAGCAAACGCTTTGGTGACAGTAGTTCCCATTTAACATGAAGAAACCATCTGCCGCGACTGGTTGGGTGTGAGCAGATAAAGACAGGAGAAGGACATGCTGTAGAAGAGAGCCAGAGATGAATAATAATTAATATTTAAATGCAGAGAGGTGTACAAACATATGTGAGTGAAGAAGAAACTCACTCAGTGCATCATGGGTAGCCCCCGGCAGCCTACACCTATTGCAGCATAACTAAGGGAGGATTCAGGGTCACCTGATCCAGCCCTACTTTATCAAAAGGAAAGCTTTAAACCTAATCTTAAAAATGGGGATAGTGTCCGTCTCCTGAATCCAAACTGGACACTGGTTACATAGAAGAGGGGCCTTGAAAGCTCAAGGCTCGGCCTCCCATTCTACTTAATACTCTTGCTTTCATGGGGCGATACTGAAGTACTATAAGGTCATTAAGCTAAGACCTTATATGTGAGGAGCAGGATTTTAAATTCTGGATTTAACAGGGAGCCAATCAAGATAAGCCAATATAGGAGAACTATGCTCCCTCTTTCTAATCAGTCTCTGCCTGTCAGTACTCGTGCTGCAGTATTTTGGATCAACTGAAAGCTTTTCAGGGAGGTTATAATAACAAATTACAGTAGTCATAAATACATAAACGAGTTTTTCAACATCACTATGAGACAGGATGTGATGCTGAGGATCTAATTTTAGAGATATAGTGCAAATGTAAGAAGACTCCCAGATTCCTAAAGCGCCTTGAGGCGACTGTTGTTGTGATTTAGCACTATATAAATAAAATTGAACTGAATTGAATTGAATTCCTCAAAGTGTCACTGGAGGCCAAGATAATGCAATTAAGAGTAAGTATATGGTAAAATACCTATTTGTAAGATTTTCAGGGCTGAGTACAGCCTCAGTTTACCCGAATTTAGAAGCAGAAAGTTAGCGGCCATCCAGGTCTTTATGTCTTTAAGACATTCCTGCAGTTTAACTAATTGGTGTGTTTTATCTGGCTTCATGGACAGATAAAGTTAGGTGTCATCTGCATAGCAGTGAAAATGTATGCTATGCCTTCTGAAAAGATCATTTGTAACCCTTCACTAAAGCTGTTTCTGTGCTGTGATGAGCTCTGAAACCTGACCGAAACTCTTCCAATAAGCCATTTCTCTGCAGATGATCTGTTAGCTGTTTGACAACTACTCTTTCAAGGATTTTTGATATGAAAGGAAGGTTGGAGATCAAGTGATGGCTTTTTAAATAATAGTTTAACAGCCTGGCTACAGTGCTGAAGAGAAACCTAGTGGTGTTCTTATTTTCTTTAATCAGTGATGAATAGTAAGATCTTCTAGCTTTACTGATGGCTTTCTTATTAAGCAGCACACTATTTTTCCAGGCTACATGATGATCTTCTAAATTAGTGATACGCCTTTTCCTCTCCAGCTTACAAGTTATCTGCTTCATGGTGCGCATTTTAAAGTTATACCAGGGAGTCAAGCACTTCTGATTTGAGGCTCTTTTTCACAGGAGCTACAGTATCCAGAGTCATACGTTGTGAAGAGGTAACATTATTAACAAGATAATCGACCTCTATTGGTGTAGCGTTCAGGTAGCTGCTCTGCTCTGTGTTGATATAGGTCATTGAAGAAGATAACAGTGGGTGGATTATATTCTTAAATTTAGTTACAGCTCTTTCAGAAAAACATCTACTGTGATGACATCTGTTCCTCACTGCTGTGTAATCCATTACTGTAAATGTAAATGTTTTGGTGTTCACTGTTTGCCTGCTGTATCAGGAATAAATGAAAAGAAGATGAATTACCTCAGCTTATTTTTTGGCTCAGTAATATTGATGATCAGCTTTGAATGCCTAATAAGGTTTTGGAGGGTCAGAGGACATTCACTGATTTATTGAATTATTTGTTGATTCTTTGATTTTAAACTGCATCAAACACATTGTCACAGTTTGGACATTTAAAACGTCTCGCAGGAGCTGAGAGTCTTCGTCAGCACTGAAAACACAGGGCGTCATAAGAGGAATGAGAAAAATGTCAAATCCAGCCATTAGGAGCAGAGTGTGGGCGGGGCTTTCATCAGGAAACTGAAGGAATGAAGTGGTTTCTGTTCAACCGGTCAAGGCGCACACGTCTGCTGAGTTTACTGACTTCTGTTAAACACAGTTTCCTGTTTGGTTTTTAAAAGTTTACCAGAAATTAAATGCACGACTTCCTGCATGTGATCACACATATTGATCATCTGGCACGCGCGCTCTCGCTCTCACACACAGACACACACACACAAGCCCGTTCAGCTATCTTAGTGAGGACCTTCATTGAAATAATCCTTTCCCTGGCCCCTAACCCTAAACATTAAAAATGACCCTAACGCCGTCAAATTTGTGAAGACCGGTTTGTGCGCCCTCACAGTGACTGTTGGTTCTCCCAAGTACAATAGAATGCAGATTTCGGTCCTCACAAAGACAGCTAGACAGGAACACACACACACACACACACACACACAGAAAACACATGCACAGCAAAAAATGACATTAAATGAAGTCAAATTCAAATAGAGACCAACTTATAGTTTGCGTTTGGTGGGGGGGGCACCGAAACCACAGCGAGGAGGTGGTGTCGGGTTTGCAGTGACAGTGGTCGAGTTACATAGAAAATGAACAGAGGGAGAGAGAGGGCGTGTCGGCCGGTAGAACAGGTTTGGGCGAGGCGGTCAAGCGAGCTTCACACACATAGTGAGCCAGAATGAGAGAGAGCAGAGTCAGATTTGTTTCCATTTCAGAGAAGAAGAAGAACACGGCGGCGGCGACCGAGGAACATACAGGTGAGTCCCTGAAACCCCTTTAAATCCTCTGTAGTACAAATACTACAATACATCTACTTCAGCTAAACACTGGAGTACGTCATGTTATAGACGCAGTAGAAGTAACTCTGTACTTGGTTACTGCAGTACCTCTAGTTTATAAATACTTTGATTCACTCGAGAGGACTTTAAAATGTGACTGAAACCTCAGTATAATGCAGTACTCTGTGCTACACTATAGTACAGTACACTGTGCCGTACACTACAGTGTACTGTAGTACAGTAAATCAAAGTAAAATACACTACAGTACTGTGTTTACCTGCTCTTTACCCCACCATATAAATGGTGGAATCAGACCTCTGAATGTGTCTAAATACTAAGATTTGCAGTACTTTAACTTGTAACCTGTGGTACTTTTTACTTCAGTTAAAGTGTTGAGTACTTCACTGCTGACTTCATGTGATGACTCAGAGTGTGTACACCTCACAGCCACATTCATCCAGGTAACATGCCTCACCTGTTGGTCCAGGAGTGTCATCAAATGGTGCCTTCACTTAAAGCAGGAAATGTGGGCCTCTGTGAATTAATCTAACTTCAGTGTTACTGCACGAGCTAATCAAATCCAATCAATCAACCAAATTAATGGGCAGATGTCTGGGCGTGGAGCTTTTGCAGCATCACTGAGTACTATCACATACTTCAAGGGTCACAAGTAAAAGTATAAAGCAGAGGACAAAGTACTCAGATCCTTAACTTTGTTTTACTCTGTGAATGTACTCAATCAGTGAAAGTACTCAGTTACTTTTATCATTCATTGAGTAATCAACCACTCCTCTTATTGGTCAGATCTGATCAGTCACTCTGATCGGAACATCAGTTCTGCAGTAAGTGTAGTTATTGATCACCTGTATTGATCTGTTTCCTTTCACATAGGTCTCTTCCTGCACTGCATTAACTGATTGGCCAGCTGCCTGATTGGACATAATTTTAGCCTCACCGTCTTGTGACGTGTCAGCATGTCCTCAAATATCAACGTCTCTCTGGAGAACCCCTACGGTCAGGTAACTATTCCACGGGCTAAGCTCCACTCTTCCAGTGACTCCACAGTGATAGCCAATCCGATGGTTATTACCAGCAATGAGAACCCGTACCAAGTGTCGAGCTCCGCCCCCCCACCATACACGGTGAAGGAGGATGGAGGGGGGGATGATGAAGGGGGGAGCTGCCGTGCCTGCTGCTACCGTTGCAGGAGAAAGAAGTGACATCATCGCTGCAGAGCGTGATGTCATAACAGTAGAAGGATTGTGACTGGCTCAGATTTATTTATTTGCTCTTCTAGAGGAAACAAGGATGGAAGGAAATGAGGAAACAATGAATGAAGGAGGGAAGGAAATTTCATGAACTGGAGGATGTTTTCTCGCTGTGGCCATTTTGTGTCTCAAATACTTCACTTACAAGTTTGTGAAGCTCAAACCTCCACCCCTCACCACCATCCCTACCCAGAACTGGGATTTCAGAGGCCATGGGGACTTGTGTGGTTACAAACACTTGAGGGGTCATGGCGTCTTTGTGGTGCCCTGCGGACTTCGGGGATCACAGGGACTTTTGGGACTCGGGGTCTTTATGGGGTCCTGGGTTTTTTTTGCCCTTGATGGTATTTTTATTTTTTTACTGGCAGTTTTATATCAATACATATAAAAAAATATTGGGGAGATGATTTTTAGACACAAAATGGCCACCACTGAACCGCAGTTTCACTTCTGTGCCTTTGTCAAGAAACCTATAGTTTTGATGTTTTTCCTGTAAACAACATTAGGTATGATTTTATAGTGTTACTGGATATAATCAATATGTTGGATTATAACTGATTATATCTAATATCAGACAGAGGATTGTTCTCCAATGTTCTACATGGTTATATAGTGATGTTTGAATTTTGTAGACATTCAGAATTCAGCTGAAAAATCTTTAAAATGTTCAATTCAATGATTGAAACTTTATTGATTATTACAAAAGTTCTTGATCATCACGAACTCCAAATGAACTGATCTAAAAATATTTTTTATCAGGTTGTAAAAAAGCAGCTGTAAATTATACTGTTTGTTTTTCTTGATGATGATGAACATTTGTGTTTGTGTTTTTTTGTTGTTATTTGTTGTTTTATATTTGACACATAATTGGCATTATTCTTGTTTTTTTTCTGTTTTCATCACAGTGACTATGCAAATCAAATGAAGCAATCAGAGCACAGGTCATCATGTGGAATAAAATTTTAAATTTAAAACTTCATCTCTGTGGCTGCTCGCACAACATTAAAGTCTCAGTAACAGCGAGCCAAACATTTCTCTGCTTTTTAGAATCAATCATTAAAGATTTTATGATAATCATCATTAATTATTGTTAAAATATAAAGTCACCATTTAATTATTTTACTGTTAACAATGAAACAATTATTGATGATGTAGTTGATCATATATTGTGATCGGAGCTGATAGGAGGCAGAACCCTGCCCAATTTGGATCTGCGACCTTTGATTTGATCCACAAGCATAAACTAAGATGTATAACTCTGTACAATGGCTTATGTCACAAATGTGTGCACCAAAACATAAACACAAATAAAAAAAATTATTTGAAGATGTAAATTATTTTAAAATGTCTGAATCTAAACCTGAGTAAACAGCAATCATTTGACTTACAAACATCTTTTTCACTTTCAGAGCTTCCTGTTGGTACAAATCTCTAAAAATACTTGGCTTTCTTTTCGTTCACTTACATCATCAAGCATGGGTGCATGAATTGGCAGATGTGCACGGATCATGCTGCATGTGTGCAGTGAGTTTTGGGGGGGTTTGTAATGCATTTATTGAATAACAAAAACATGGCACAGTACAGTACATCATTCATAATCAGTGTTACAAGCAGACAAGTGCAGATGAAACAAAGCAGAAAGAAAGATACAACAGTATATACTGACAATAATCAAATTAGATATATTAAAAAATCATAATAATAAAAATAAATTATCAAATAAAATGAGATGAAATGTGCTAGGGATTAACATTTAGTTTATATTTCTCAAAAGTGTCGCTGAAAATTGAACCTTTAGACCCTTTCATGAATTTCAAGGAGAAGATGTAATAAATGAATTCTCTATGAAAGGGAATGAGAGCATGCCTTCAGGTTGGGAAACGGGTCATTCGACTGTGTCCCTTGGAGTGTCCTGTGGGGGATGCTTCAAAAGTATGGGCGAATGCCCTCATGCTATGGGCCATTCGATCCATGTACAACTGTTGCAGGAGTGCAGGAGCTTAGTCCGCATCACAGGCAGTAAGTCGGACTCATTTCCGGTGGGTGTTGGACTCAGAGCTGCCCTTTGTCGCAGATTCTGTTCATAGTTTTGTGGACAGAATTTCTAGGCATTGGCAGGTGGATAAAGGCTTCCACTTTGGTGGCCTCAGAGTCTAATTTCTGCTTTTTGCAGATGATGTGGTTTGGACCCTCAGTGTGGTAAGGTGTAGAGCTCAGCCATCCGGAAGGGGCTCAGAGTAGAGCCACGAGTCCTCCGCACTGAAAGGAGCTATACATTCCTGGACCAAGGCAGACCTAGGACACGCTGGAGATATTATATCTGTCAGCTGGCCTGAGAAAGCCCCAGTGTTCCCCCAGATAAGCTGGAGGATGTGGCTGGGGAGAGGGAGGGCCTCTGCTGCCCCTGCAGCCCAGCCCTGGGTAAGAGGAAGAAAATCGATAATTGTTGTTACTTTTCAGGTAATGGAAGACATTTGTTACACCTGACTCTGAACTGGACTCAAACAGGACGTTGGGATGAAATATTAGGTTTTATTGCAGGCAAAGAGGATAAACAGGTAGTATTGTAAGGCAGAATTTCCAGAGTGACATTTGCAGAGGAGCAGGCAGGTTATCCACTGAATTCTCTCCACAGTTATTTTCACTGAAGCTTCACCTTCAGATTGTCCTGAGTAAAAACAAAATACAGTTTTTAAATAATGATTTCAGCTATTAAGGGGAAAAAGGAGAAAGAACAGTCTAAAAAGTGATTGCCCCTCTTGATAAATCATAGATTTATGGCAATTAAACATATTTTTTGGAAAACCGAGATAGGTTTCACTTCCACACCCAGGCCTCAATATTTTCAGACCTGCCAGACATAGGTATTGAATAGTTTTCTTGTTTAATTAATACCATAACTCAAAAATGTATTTTTTTCATGGTTCTGAGTCTCTTACCCAGTGTTTCATGTTTTGAATCTTGTTAATTCATTATTGTTTTGATTTGAAGAAGTGGGCTTGTTTCTATTGATTCTAATTTAATTACGATTGATTTCCTTGTGTTTAGAAGTTTTTCAATTTCTTTTTAGTTCCCTACTACATTATTTGAGATTTTTAATTTAGTCATAAAAGACTTTAGGATTATTAGTTTACATCCTGTTCCCTTAGTCTCATCTTTGTGTTTCTTACCTTAGTGTATTCAAAGTTAAGTCTGTCACGTTGCCTACGGCTGTGTCTCAACTCAGGGGCTGCATCCATCAGAGGCTGCATTTGAAGGCCGGTTACGTCACAGCGACATGATGAAGGCTGTCCCAATTCAAAGGCTGCTCCAAATGCAGCTGACAAATGCGTCCTTCATTTCCCCGAATTTGAAGGATGGGTCGGGTGTATCCTTCGTGGCCCAACCTATCCCAGAATTCATAGCACGGCCCAACCAATTCCAGTTTCCAACAATGACGGCAGCTACTTAGTTGTAATATTACTCTTAGTAGTCTTGTCAATACTTTATTATTTAAATTATTATTTATAATATTTTTATACAAACATCAAAATACTTTTCAAACGTGGCAATGGCGGAGGAGCATGGCTTAAGAGTTTGAAATATTTCTCTTTCTGGGTCTCAAAAAAAAACTTTTAACATATTTTCAGGTGAGAATGTAGCTTCAATATCTAGCTTCAATGTAAACTTCAAATATCTTCTCGGTTTATCAAGACATCACATATTTGCAAAAGTAAATAAGTCCAGTTTCACTTTTCATATCACCAAGCTTTTTGATCAATTGTCTTCTTTCAGCATCATATTTCTGACAATGCATTAAAACATGTTCTATTGTTTCTTCTTCTGTATTGCAGTCACACTTTCCTGTACGGTGTTTTCCTATTAAAAACAATGTGCTATTCACAGAGCTTTATATGTTCACCAAAGACAGTAGAAGTGTTAGAAAAACATACAAAAAAGGACAGTTGGACCAAAGGAGTCAATGTTCAATGAGGGCCCAGTCTGACTTTAAGTTTGAATTTAACCCCAAATTTAAGAGTTTAAAACATTCATGAAACTCATTTAAATCTGATGTGAAATAGTTAGGCCTAATTAGAGTCTGTAAGGAGTTTCCTGCCTTGTTTATTTGAAGCAGCATTCAGGTGACACCCAGGTGGATTTAATCTACTCTAAACCTGTAGCCACAATCCCCTGTTAGAATCGCATCTTTTCTATCGATCTGCAAGTGAGGGTCTGAAATGCTGGGCTATGATCCTGAGGTCTCTCAGAGTCACCTCAGGGCTAATGCTAAAACAGGAAGTCCAGTCTGAGCATCAGATATATATAGAAAAGTCACTTTAGTTTCTCTCTGAGATGAACAAAGAAGAGGAAACAGTGAAAGAAGGAGTCCGGTGATCAGTCAGGTGAGCTCCTCACCTTCACTAGATTTACTCACACACTCACACAGTTCCAGTTTCTCACTGAACCTCTGAATGAGCTGCTGAGTTGAGACAGTGGTATTGTTTCCTGTAACATCAGAATGTGACTGATGAGATGTCAAACCCAGAGAGACCTGCAGGGGGCACTCCAAACCTGCTCACAGGAAACAGGTTGCTCTGAAAAGAACTCTGGTCGTATGTTTTTTTCTGTCTGGCTGAAGTTACAAGTATCTCTGTGTGTGTGTGTGCAGCGTTTTTCTCACTCAGAGAAAAAATCATGTGGCCCTAAAGGTGTGCAGACAGAGGATCAGAACAAAAAACTGCAGGTGAAACCTAAACACTCCTGTGTACACCAGCTGCCTCCTCCTCCTCAGGCTCATCCTTCTTATGTGGCTCCTCCTCTCATCTCCAACTCTTTCTCTCTTGCTCACTCTCTCTGTTGCTAGGCGACCTTAGTTTATACTGAGCTGTAACCTGATAGGTTGACACAGAAACCAGAAAATAGTTGTACTTTCTATTGGCTGATCAGGTTACAGGTGAAATTGTTGGGTTTTTTCATGTAAGAAGTTTCAGTTTGTCTCTTTCCTGAAACTAGTTTTTATTTTCACTGTCAGTACTTACTGATGAGTTTTTAGATTTGACCTGTTATATTTTCTATGTGTTTATTTTCACTGTGTAACTAATGAATACTGATTTAAACAGCTGTGCAGTCTTCATGTTTTATGCTTTTAAGATTGGTGTGTTATTTGACTCTGAGAGAGCTGTGAGTCGACACCAAACAGGATGAATTATTGATAAAGACGAGTCTCTCTCTGAGGCAGGAGTAAAATTGACACAAAGACCAAATAAAGGAGCAGAGAGAACAACAAGAGAAAGCTTAAGAAACAGGAATAAAAAAAGTAAAACAACACGAGGAAGATACAAACCAATAAGAGACAACAGAAGAACTGAAGAACAACACCAGAGAGAAAATAAGAGGATTAAAGAGATAAAGACAAAAAAATAAAAGAGGAAAAGGAGAAGATGTGAAGGACAAAATCTGGAAAAGGTACAACCAGGTGGGTTTCTGTTCCAATCAATCAGAACGTAGGAGGTGAAATGCAAATAAACCCAAAAATAGGGTTTTGATTTTTGAGCCCTTATAGTAAGTACAAAGGATATGCTAATGTATTTTTTTAAGGTCTGCTCAGTTTTAGTTTTATAGCAACATTCACAGTCTAAGACTGAACCTGGTTTCTGTGAGTGGCTGAAAGCATCGGTGTGATAGATCTGTAGAGGAGCAGTAGCCAGCGTTGGTACCCTGATGTCTAGAATTAAAACTGTGATGATGATGCAGAGAGCGTGTGGTGTACTCAGGTGTGGTTTGCAACTTTGACCTTTTGCTGGAGGTATGAGTTATACACTCAGTCTTGATAATCATGATGTGATGAAATACAGTTATCACACGTGGTCATTGTGAGCGCTTGAAGTTTAACTTTCACACAGTCTGTCTCAGGGTCTGGTCTGTGACCCAGTGCTCTCATTTGGTTTTGATCTCTTTTGCTATATTTTGAAGATAATGTTCGAGGTTAATTATTTAGTTGCCTCAAGTTTAATCTAGCTATGTTACACTTACGTCTTCTGGTTAGTCTAATGGGGCGATCGTGGCTCAAGAGTTGGGAGTTCGCCTTGTAATCGGAAGGTTGCTGGTTCGAGCCCCGGCTTGGACAGTCTCGGTCGTTGTGTCCTTGGGCAAGACACTTCACCTGTTGCCTACTGGTGGTGGTCAGAGGGCCCGGTGGCGCCAGTGTCCGGCAGCCTCGCCTCTGTCAGTGCGCCCCAGGGTGGCTGTGGCTACATTGTAGCTTGCCATCACCAGTGTGTGAATGTGTGTGTGAATGGGTGGATGACAGGTTCTGTAAAGCGCTTTGGGGTCCTTAGGGACTAGAAAAGCGCTA